GACGTGGACGTGGACGTGGGGGACATGGACGTGGACGTGGACATGGACGTGGACGTGGACGTGGACGTGGACGTGGACATGGACGTGGACGTGGACGGGACATGGACGTGGTGACGTGGACGTGGACGTGGACATGGACGTGGACGTGGACGTGGACGTGGACATGGACGTGGACGTGGACGGGACAGTGGACGTGGACGTGGACGTGGACGTGGACGTGGACGTGGACGTTCGTGGACATGGACGTGGACGTGGACGTGGACGTGGACATGGACGTGGACGTGGACGTGGACATGGACGTGGACGTGGACGTGGACGTGGACGTGGACGTGGACGTGGACATGGACGTGGACTTGGACGTGGACGTGGACGTGGACGTGGACGTGGACATGGACGTGGACGTGGACGTGGACGTGGACGTGGACATGGACGTGGACGTGGACATGGACGTGGACGTGGACGTGGACGTGGACGTGGACGTGGACGTGGACGTGGACGGGGACGTGGACGTGGACGTGGACATGGACGTGGACGTGGACGTGGACGTGGACGTGGACGTGGACGTGGACGTGGACGTGGACGTGGACGTGGACATGGACATGGACGTGGACATGGACGTGGACATGGACGTGGACGTGGACGTGGACGTGGACGTGGACGTGGACGTGGACGTGGACGTGGACGTGGACATGGACGTGGACATGGACGTGGACGTGTGACGTGGACGTGGACATGGACGTGGACGTGGACGTGGACATGGACGTGGACATGGACGTGGACGTGGACGTGGACATGGACGTGGACGTGGACGTGGACGTGGACATGGACGTGGACGTGGACGTGGACGTGGACGTGGACGTGGACGTGGACGTGGACGTGGACGTGGACGTGGACGTGGACGTGGACGTGGACGTGGACGTGGACGTGGACATGGACGTGGACGTGGACGGTGGACGTGGACGTGGACATGGACGTGGACGTGGACGTGGACGTGGACATGGACGTGGACGTGGACGTGGACATGGACGTGGACATGGACGTGGACGTGGACGTGGACGTGGACGTGGACATGGACGTGGACGTGGACGTGGACGTGGACGTGGACATGGACGTGGACGTGGACATGGACGTGGACATGGACTGGACGTGGACATGGACGTGGACGTGGACATGGACGTGGACGTGGACGTGGAATGGACGTGGACATGGACGTGGACGTGGACGTGGACGTGGACGTGGACGTGGACGTGGACGTGGACGTGGACATGGACGTGGACATGGACGTGGACATGGACGTGGACGTGGACGTGGACGTGGACCGGGACGTGGACGTGGACGTGGACGTGGACGTGGACATGGACGTGGACGTGGACGTGGACGTGGACATGGACGTGGACGTGGACGTGGACGGACGTGGACGTGGACGTGGACGTGGACGTGACGACGTGGACGTGGACGTGGACGTGGAGGACTGGACGTGGACGTGACGTGGACATGGACGTGGACATGGACGTGGACGTGGACGTGGACGTGGACGTGGACGTGGACATGGACGTGGACGTGGACGTGGAGGACGTGGACGTGGACATGGACGTGGACGTGGACATGGACGTGGACGTGGACATGGACGTGGACGTGGACGTGGAACGTGGACGTGGACGTGGACGTGACGACGTGGACGTGGACGTGGAGGACTGGACGTGGACATGGACGTGGACGTGGACGTGGACGTGGACGTGGACGTGGACATGGACGTGGACATGGACGTGGACGTGGACGTGGACGTGGACGTGGACGTGGACTGGACGTGGACGTGGACGTGGACGTGGACGTGGACGTGGACGTGGACGTGGACGTGGACGTGGACGTGGACGTGGACGTGGACGTGGACGTGGACGTGGACGTGGACGTGGACGTGGACATGGACGTGGACGTGGACGTTGGACGTGGACGTGGACATGGACGTGGACGTGGACGTGGACGTGGACGTGGACTGGACGTGGACGTGGACGTGGACATGGACGTGGACGTGGACGTGGACATGGACGTGGACGTGGACGTGGACGTGGACATGGACGTGGACGTGGACGTGGACGTGGACGTGGACGTGGACATGGACGTGGACGTGGACGTGGACGTGGACATGGACGTGGACTGGGACGTGGACGTGGACGTGGACATGGACGTGGACGTGGACGTGGACATGGACGTGGACGTGGACGTGGACGTGGACGTGGACATGGACGTGGACGTGGACAGGACGTGGACGTGGACGTGGACGTGGACGTGGACGTGGACGTGGACATGGACGTGGACGTGGACGTGGACGTGGACATGGACGTGGACATGGACGTGGATGGACGGACATGGACGTGGACGTGGACATGGACGTGGACGTGGACGTGGACGTGGACATGGACGTGGACGTGGACGTGGAGGACGTGGACGTGGACGTGGACGTGGACGTGGACGTGGACGTGGACGTGGACATGGACTGACGTGGACGTGGACGTGGACGTGGACGTGGACGTGGACGTGGACGTGGACGTGGACGTGGACGTGGACGTGGACGTGGACGTGGACGTGGAATGGACGTGGACGTGGACGTGGACGTGGACGTGGACATGGACGTGGACGTGGACGTGGACGTGGACATGGACGTGGACGTGGACGTGGACGTGGACATGGACGTGGACGTGGACGTGGACGTGGACGTGGACGTGGACATGGACGTGGACGTGGACGTGGACGTGGACGTGGGACGTGGACGTGGACGTGGACGTGGACGTGGACGTGGACATGGACGTGGACGTGGACGTGGACGTGGACGTGGACATGGACGTGGACTGGACGTGGACGTGGACGTGGACGTGGACGTGGACATGGACGTGGACGTGGACGTGGACGTGGACGTGGACGTGGACGTGGACGTGGACGTGGACGTGGACGTGGACATGGACGTGGACGTGGACGTGGACGTGGACGTGGACGTGGACGTGGACGTGGACATGGACGTGGACGTGGACGTGGACGTGGACGTGGACGTGGACGTGGACGTGGACGTGACGTGGACGTGGACGTGGACGTGGACGTGGACATGGACGTGGACGTGGACGTGGACGTGGACGTGGACGTGGACATGGACGTGGACATGGGACGTGGACGTATGGACGTGGACATGGACGTGGACGTGGACATGGACGTGGACGTGGACGTGGACGTGGACGTGGACGTGGACGTGGACGTGGACGTGGAGGACGTGGACGTGGACGTGGACGTGGACGTGGAGGACGTGGACGTGGACGTGGACGTGGAGGACGTGGACGTGGACATGGACGTGGACGTGGACGTGGACGTGGACGTGGACGTGGACATGGACGTGGACATGGACGTGGACGTGGACGTGGACGTGGACGTGGACGTGGACGTGGACGTGGACGTGGACGTGGACGTGGACGTGGACGTGGACGTGGACGTGGACGTGGACATGGACGTGGACTGGACGTGGACATGTGGACGTGGACATGGACGTGGACGTGGACATGGACGTGGACGTGGACGTGGACGTGGACATGGACGTGGACGTGGACGTGGACGTGGACGTGGACGTGGACGTGGACGTGGACATGGACGTGGACGTGGACGTGGACGTGGACGTGGACGTGGACGTGGACGTGGACGTGGACATGGACGTGGACGTGGACGTGGACGTGGACGTGGACGTGGACGTGGACGTGGACGTGGACGTGGACGTGGACGTGGACGTGGACGTGGACGTGGACGTGGACGTGGACATGACATGGACGTGGACGTGGACGTGGACGTGGACGTGGCTGGACGTGGACGTGGACGTGGACGTGGACGTGGACGTGGACGTGGACGTGGACGTGGACGTGGACGTGGACGTGGACGTGGACGTGGACGTGGACGTGGACGTGGACGTGGTGGTGGACGTGGACGTGGACGTGGACGTGGACGTGGACATGGACGTGGACGTGGACGTGGACGTGGACGTGGACATGGACGTGGACATGGACGTGGACGTGGACATGGACGTGGACGTGGACGTGGACGTGGACCGTGGACGTGGACATGGACGTGGACGTGGACGTGGACGTGGACGTGGACGTGGACGTGGACGTGGACGTGGACATGGACGTGGACGTGGACGTGGACATGGACGTGGACGTGGACGTGGACGTGGACGGGACGTGGACGTGGACGTGGACGTGGACGTGGACGTGGACATGGACGTGGACGTGGACGTGGACGTGGACATGGACGTGGACGTGGACGTGGAGGACGTGGACGTGGACGTGGACGTGGACGTGACGACGTGGACGTGGACGTGGACGTGGAGGACTGGACGTGGACATGGACGTGGACATGGACGTGGACGTGGACGTGGACGTGGACGTGGACGTGGACATTGGACGTGGACGTGGACATGGACGTGGACGTGGACGTGGACTTGGACGTGGACATGGACGTGGACGTGGACGTGGACGTGGACGTGGACATGGACGTGGACGTGGACGTGGACGTGGACGTGGACGTGGACGTGGACGACGTGGACGTGGACGTGGAGGACTGGACGTGGACATGGACGTGGACGTGGACGTGGACATGGACGTGGACGTGGACGTGGACGTGGACGTGGACGTGGACGTGGACGTGGACGTGGACGTGGACGTGGACGTGGACGTGGACGTGGACGTGGACGTGGACGTGGACGTGGACGTGGACATGGACGTGGACGTGGACGTGGACGTGGACGTGGACATGGACGTGGACGTGGACGTGGACGTGGACGTGGACATGGACGTGGACATGGACGTGGACGTGGACGTGGACATGGACGTGGAGTGGACTGGACGTGGACGTGGACGTGGACGTGGACATGGACGTGGACATGGACGTGGACGTGGACATGGACGTGGACGTGGACATGGACGTGGACGTGGACATGGACGTGGACGTGGACATGGACGTGGACGTGGACGTGGACGTGGACGTGGACGTGGACGTGGACGTGGACATGGACGTGGACGTGGACGTGGACGTGGACATGGACGTGGACGTGGACGTGGACATGGACTGGACGTGGACGTGGACGTGGACGTGGACGTGGACGTGGACGTGGACGTGGACGTGGACGTGGACTGGACGTGGACATGGACGTGGACATGGACGTGACGTGGACGTGGACGTGGACGTGGACGTGGACATGGACGTGGACATGGGACGTGGACATGGACGTGGACGTGGACGTGGACGTGGACGTGGACGTGGACGTGGACGTGGACATGGACGTGGACGTGGACGTGGAGGACGTGGACGTGGACGTGGACGTGGACGTGGAGGACGTGGACGTGGACGTGGACGTGGGGACTTGGACGTGGACATGGACGTGGACGTGGACGTGGACGTGGACGTGGACGTGGACATGGACGTGGACATGGACGTGGACGTGGACGTGGACGTGGACGTGGACGTGGACGTGGACGTGGACGTGGACGTGGACGTGGACGTGGACGTGGACGTGGACGTGGACATGGACGTGGACGTGGACGTGGACATGGACGTGGACGTGGACGTGGACGTGGACATGGACGTGGACATGGACGTGGACGTGGACCGTGGACGTGGACATGGACGTGGACGTGGACGTGGATGGACGGACCGTGGACGTGGACGTGGACATGGACGTGGACGTGGACGTGGACGTGGACGTGGACGTGGACGTGGACGTGGACGTGGACGTGGACATGGACGTGGACGTGGACGTGGACGTGGACGTGGACGTGGACGTGGACGTGGACATGGACGTGGACATGGACGTGGACGTGGACGTGGACGTGGACATGGACGTGGACATGGACGTGGACATGGACGTGGACATGGACGTGGACGTGGACATGGACGTGGACGTGGACGTGGACGTGGACGTGGACGTGGACATGGACGTGGACGTGGACGTGGAGGACGTGGACGTGGACGTGGACGTGGACGTGGAGGGACGTGGACGTGGACGTGACGTGGAGGACGTGGACGTGGACATGGACGTGGACGTGGACGTGGACATGGACGTGGACGTGGACATGGACGTGGCATGGACGTGGACGTGGACGTGGACGTGGACGTGGACGTGGACGTGGACGTGGACGTGGACGTGGACGTGGACGTGGACGTGGACGTGGACATGGACGTGGACGTGGACGTGGACATGGACGTGGACATGGACGTGGACGTGGACGTGGACGTGGACATGGACGTGGACGTGGACAGTGGACGTGGACGTGGACGTGGACGTGGACGTGGACGTGGACATGGACGTGGACGTGGACGTGGACATGGACGTGGACGTGGACGTGGACATGGACGTGGACGTGGACGTGGACGTGGACGTGGACGTGGACGTGGACGTGGACGTGGACGTGGACGTGGACGTGGACGTGGACGTGGACATGGACGTGGACGTGGACGTGGACGTGGACGTGGACATGGACGTGGACGTGGACGTGGACATGGACGTGGACGTGGACGTGGACGTGGACATGGACGTGGACGTGGACGTGGACGTGGACGTGGACATGGACGTGGACATGGACGTGGACGTGGACATGGACGTGGACGTGGACGTGGACATGGACGTGGACATGGACGAAACGTGGACGTGGACGTGGACGTGGACATGGACGTGGACGTGGACGTGGACGTGGACGTGGACGTGGACGTGGACGTGGACGTGGACGTGACGTGGACATGGACGTGGACATGGACGTGGACGTGGACGTGGACGTGGACGTGGACGTGGACGTGGACGTGGACGTGGACGTGGACGTGGACGTGGACGTGGACGTGGACGTGGACGTGGACGTGGACATGGACGTGGACGTGGACGTGGACGTGGACGTGGACGTGGACGTGGACGTGGACGTGGACGTGGACGTGGACGTGGACGTGGACGTGGACGTGGACGTGGACGTGGACGTGGACATGGACGTGGACATGGACGTGGACGTGGACGTGGACATGGACGTGGACGTGGACGTGGACGTGGACATGGACGTGGACGTGGACGTGGACATGGACGTGGACGTGGACGTGGACGTGGACGAAGACGTGGACGTGGACGTGGACGTGGACGTGGACGTGGACGTGGACGTGGACGTGGACGTGGACGTGGACGGACGTGGACGTGGACGTGGACGTGGACATGGACGTGGACGTGGACATGGACGTGGACGTGGACATGGACGTGGACGTGGACGTGGACGTGGACGTGGACGTGGACGTGGACGTGGACATGGACGTGGACGTGGACGTGGACGTGGACGTGGACGTGGACGTGGACATGGACGTGGACGTGGACGTGGACGTGGACATGGACGTGGACGTGGACGTGGACGTGGACGTGGACGTGGACGTGGACATGGACATGGACGTGGACTGGACGTGGACGTGGACGTGGACGTGGACGTGGACGTGGACATGGACGTGGACGTGGGACGTGGACATGGACGTGGACGTGGACGTGGACGTGGACGTGGACGTGGACGTGGACGTGGACGTGGACGTGGACGTGGACGTGGACATGGACGTGGACGTGGACGTGGACGTGGACGTGGACGTGGACGTGGACGTGGACATGGACGTGGACATGGACGTGGACATGGACGTGGACGTGGACATGGACGTGGACGTGGACGTGGACGTGGACGTGGACGTGACGTGGACGTGGACATGACGTGGACGTGGACGTGGACTGGACGTGGACGTGGACGTGGACGTGGACGTGGACGTGGACGTGGACGTGACGTGGACGTGGACGTGGACGTGGACGTGGACGTGGACGTGGACGTGGACGTGGACGTGGACGTGGACATGGACGTGGACGTGGACGTGGACGTGGACGTGGACGTGGACGTGGACGTGGACATGGACGTGGACGTGGACGGGACATGGACGTGGACGTGGACATGGACGTGGACGTGGACATGGACGTGGACGTGGACATGGACGTGGACGTGGACGTGGACGTGGACGTGGACATGGACGTGGACGTGGACGTGGACGTGGACGTGGACGTGGACGTGGACGTGGACGTGGACGTGGACGTGGACGTGGACATGGACGTGGACATGGACGTGGACGTGGACGTGGACGTGGACGTGGACATGGACGTGGACGTGGACGTGGACGTGGACGTGGACGTGGACGTGGACGTGGACGTGGACGTGGACGTGGACGTGGACGTGGACGTGGACGTGGACGTGGACGTGGACATGGACGTGGACGTGGACGTGGACGTGGACGTGGACGTGGACGTGGACGTGGACATGGACGTGGACGTGGACGTGGACATGGACGTGGACGTGGACATGGACGTGGACGTGGACGTGGACGTGGACGTGGACGTGGACGTGGACATGGACGTGGACATGGACGTGGACGTGGACGTGGACAGGACGTGGGACATGGACGTGGACGTGGACATGGACGTGGACATGGACGTGGACGTGGACGTGGACGTGGACGTGGACGTGGACGTGGACGTGGACGTGGACATGGACGTGGACGTGGACGTGGACGTGGACATGGACGTGGACGTGGACGTGGACATGGACGTGGACGTGGACGTGGACGTGGACGTGGACGTGGACGTGGACGTGGACGTGGACATGGACGTGGACGTGGACGTGGACGTGGACGTGGACGTGGACATGGACGTGGACGTGGACATGGACGTGGACATGGACGTGGACGTGGACGTGGACGTGGACATGGACGTGGACGTGGACGTGGACGTGGACATGGACGTGGAGATGGACGTGGACATGGACGTGGACGTGGACATGGACGTGGACGTGGACGTGGACGTGGACATGGACGTGGACGTGGACGTGGAGGACGTGGACGTGGACGTGGACGTGGAGGACGTGGACACGTGGACGTGGAGGACGTGGACGTGGACGTGGACGTGGACATGGACGTGGACGTGGACGTGGACATGGACGTGGACGTGGACGTGGACATGGACGTGGACGTGGACGTGGACGTGGACGTGGACGTGGACATGGACGTGGACGTGGACGTGGACATGGACGTGGACGTGGACGTGGACAGGATGGACGTGGACGTGGACGTGGACGTGGACGTGGACGTGGACATGGACGTGGACGTGGACGTGGACGTGGACATGGACGTGGACATGGACGTGGACGTGGACGTGGACATGGACGTGGACATGGACGTGGACGTGGACGTGGACGTGGACGTGGACGTGGACATGGACGTGGACGTGGACGTGGACGTGGACGTGGACGTGGACGTGGACGTGGACATGGACGTGGACGTGGACATGGACGTGGACATGGACGTGGACGTGGACGTGGACATGGACGTGGACGTGGACGTGGAGGAGTGGACGTGGACGTGGACGTGGACGTGGACGTGGACGTGGACGTGGACGTGGACGTGGACGTGGACATGGACGTGGACATGGACGTGGACGTGGACGTGGACGTGGACGTGGACTGGACGTGGACGTGGACGTGGACGTGGACGTGGACATGGACGTGGACGTGGACGTGGACGTGGACGTGGACGTGGACGTGGACATGGACGTGGACATGGACGTGGACGTGGACATGGACATGGACGTGGACATGGACGTGGACGTGGACATGGACGTGGACATGGACGTGGACGTGGACCAGATGGACGTGGACATGGACGTGGACGTGGACGTGGACATGGACGTGGACGTGGACGTGGACGTGGACATGGACGTGGACGTGGACGTGGACATGGACGTGGACGTGGACGTGGACGTGGACGTGGACGTGGACGTGGACGTGGACATGGACGTGGACGTGGACGTGGACGTGGACGTGGACGTGGACCTGGACGTGGACGTGGACGTGGACGTGGACATGGACGTGGACGTGGACGTGGACGTGGACATGGACGTGGACGTGGACGTGGACGTGGACATGGACGTGGAGATGGACGTGGACGTGGACGTGGACGTGACATGGACGTGGACGTGGACGTGGACATGGACGTGGACGTGGACGTGGGACGTGGACGTGGACGTGGACGTGGAGGACGTGGACGTGGACGTGGACGTGGAGGACGTGGACATGGACGTGGACGTGGACGTGGACATGGACGTGGACGTGGACGTGGACGTGGACGTGGACGTGGACGTGGACATGGACGTGGACGTGGACGTGGACGTGGACGTGGACGTGGACATGGACGTGGACGTGGACGTGGACGTGGACATGGACGTGGACGTGGACGTGGACGTGGACGTGGACGTGGACGTGGACGTGGACTGGACGTGGACATGGACGTGGACGTGGACATGGACGTGGACAGGACGTGGACGTGGACGTGGACGTGGACGTGGACATGGACGTGGACATGGACGTGGACGTGGACGTGGACGTGGACGTGGACGTGGACGTGGACATGGACGTGGACGTGGACGTGGACATGGACATGTGGACGTGGACGTGGACGTGGACATGGACGTGGACGTGGACGTGGACGTGGACGTGGACGTGGACGTGGACGTGGACGTGGACGTGGACGTGGACGGGACGTGGACGTGGACGTGGACGTGGACGTGGACATGGACGTGGACATGGACGTGACGTGGACGTGGACGTGGGACGTGGACTTGGACGTGGACGTGGACGTGGACGTGGACGTGGACGTGGACGTGGACGTGGACGTGGACGTGGACGTGGACGTGGACGTGGACGTGGACATGGACGTGGACGTGGAGTGGACATGGACGTGGACGTGGACGTGGACGTGGACGTGGACGTGGACATGGACATGGACGTGGACGTGGACGTGGACGTGGACATGGACGTGGACGTGGACGTGGACGTGGACGTGGACGTGGACGTGGACGTGGACGTGGACGTGGACGTGGACGTGGACGTGGACGTGGACGTGGACGTGGACATGGACGTGGACGTGGACGTGGACATGGACGTGGACGTGGACTGGACGTGGACATGGACGTGGACATGGACGTGGACATGGACGTGGACGTGGACGTGGACATGGACGTGGACGTGGACATGGACGTGGACATGGACGTGGACGTGGACGTGGACATGGACGTGGACGTGGACGTGGACGTGGACGTGGACGTGGACGTGGACGTGGACGTGGACGTGGACGTGGACGTGGACATGGACGTGGACATGGACGTGGACGTGGACGTGGACGTGGACATGGACGTGGACGTGGGACGTGGACGTGGACGTGGACGTGGACGTGGACGTGGACGTGGACGGACGTGGACGTGGACGTGACGTGGACGTGGACATGGACATGGACGTGGACGTGGACGTGGACGTGGACGTGGACGTGGACATGGACATGGACGTGGACGTGGACATGGACGTGGACGTGGACGTGGACGTGGACGTGGACGTGGACGTGGACATGGACGTGGACATGGACGTGGACGTGGACGTGGACATGGACGTGGACGGGACGTGGACATGGACGTGGACGTGGACGTGGACGTGGACGTGGACGTGGACGTGGACGTGGACGTGGACGTGGACATGGACGTGGACGTGGACGTGGACATGGACGTGGACGTGGACGTGGACGTGGACTGGACGTGGACGTGGACATGGACGTGGACGTGGACGTGGACGTGGACGGACGTGGACGTGGACGTGGACGTGGACGTGGACGTGGACGTGGACGTGGACGTGGACGTGGACGTGGACATGGACGTGGACATGGACGTGGACGTGGACGTGGACGTGGACGTGGACGTGGACGTGGACGTGGACGTGGACATGGACGTGGATGGACGTGGACGTGGACGTGGAGTGGACATGGACGTGGACGTGGACGTGGACGTGGACGTGGACATGGACGTGGACGTGGACGTGGAGGACGTGGACGTGGACGTGGACGTGGACGTGGGTGGACGTGGACGTGGACGTGGACGTGGAGACGTGGACGTGGACATGGACGTGGACGTGGACGTGGACGTGGACGTGGACATGGACGTGGACGTAGACCTACACCTGGGCGCGGACGTGGACATGGACGTGGACGTGGACGTGGACGTGGACGTGGACATGGACGTGGACGTGGACGTGGACGTGGACGTGGACGTGGACGTGGACGTGACGTGGACATGGACGTGGACGTGGACATGGACGTGGACGTGGACGTGGACGTGGACGTGGACGTGGACGTGGACCAGATGGACGTGGACATGGACGTGGACGTGGACGTGGACGTGGACATGGACGTGGACGTGGACGTGGACGTGGACATGGACGTGGACGTGGACGTGGACGTGGACGTGGACGTGGACGTGGACGTGGACGTGGACATGGACGTGGACGTGGACGTGGACGTGGACGTGGACGTGGACGTGGACATGGACGTGGACGTGGACGTGGACATGGACGTGGACGTGGACGTGGACGTGGACATGGACGTGGACGTGGACGTGGACGTGGACGTGGACGTGGACACGTGGACGTGGACGTGGACGTGGACGTGGACATGGACGTGGACATGGACGTGGACGTGGACGTGGACATGGACGTGGACGTGGACGTGGACATGGACGTGGACGTGGACGTGGACATGGACGTGGACTGGACGTGGACGTGGACGTGGACGTGGACGTGGACGTGGACGTGGACATGGACGTGGACGTGGACGTGGACATGGACGTGGACGTGGACATGGACGTGGACGTGGACGTGGACGTGGACGTGGACATGGACGTGGACGTGGACGTGGACGTGGACGTGGACGTGGACGTGGACGTGGACGTGGACGTGGACGTGGACGTGGACGTGGACGTGTGGACATGGACGTGGACGTGGACGTGGACGTGGACATGGACGTGGACGTGGACATGGACGTGGACGTGGACGTGGACGTGGACATGGACGTGGACGTGGACGTGGACATGGACGTGGACGTGGACGTGGACGTGGACGTGGACGTGGACGTGGACGTGGACGTGGACGTGGACGTGGACGTGGACGTGGACGTGGACGTGGACGTGGACGTGGACGTGGACGTGGACGTGGACGTGGACGTGGACGTGGACGTGGACGTGGACGTGGACGTGGACGTGGACGTGGACGTGGACGTGGACGTGGACGTGGACGTGGACGTGGACGTGGACGTGGACGTGGACGTGGACGTGGACGTGGACGTGGACGTGGACATGGACGTGGACGTGGACGTGGACGTGGACGTGGACATGGACGTGGACGTGGACGTGGACGTGGACGTGGACGTGGACATGGACGTGGACGTGGACGTGGACGTGGACATGGACGTGGACGTGGACATGGACGTGGACGTGGACGTGGACGTGGACGTGGACGTGGACGTGGACGTGGACGTGGACATGGACGTGGACGTGGACGTGGACGTGGACATGGACGTGGACATGGACGTGGACGTGGACGTGGACATGGACGTGGACATGGACGTGGACATGGACGTGGACGTGGACGTGGACGTGGACATGGACGTGGACGTGGACGTGGACGTGGACGTGGACGTGGACGTGGACGTGGACGTGACGTGGACGTGGACGTGGACGTGGACGTGGACGTGGACGTGGACGTGGACGTGGATGGACGTGGACGTGGACGTGGACATGGACGTGGACGTGGACGTGGACATGGACGTGGACGTGGACATGGACGTGGACGTGGACATGGACGTGGACGTGGACGTGGACGTGGACATGGACGTGGACGTGGACGTGGACATGGACGTGGACGTGGACGTGGACATGGACGTGGACATGGACGTGGACGTGGACGTGGACATGGACGTGGACGTGGACGTGGACGTGGACGTGGACGTGGACGTGGACGTGGACATGGACGTGGACGTGGACCGTGGACGTGGACGTGGACGTGGACGTGGACGTGGACATGGACGTGGACGTGGACGTGGACGTGGACGTGGACGTGGACGTGGACGTGGACATGGACGTGGACGTGGACGTGGACGTGGACATGGACGTGGACGTGGACGTGGACGTGGACTGGACGTGGACATGGACGTGGACATGGACGTGGACGTGGACGTGGACGTGGACTGCGTGGACGTGGACGTGGACGTGGACTGGGACGTGGGACGTGGACGTGGACGTGGACGTGGACGTGGACATGGACGTGGACGTGGACGTGGACGTGGACATGGACGTGGACGTGGACGTGGACGTGGACATGGACGTGGACATGGACGTGGACATGGACGTGGACGTGGACGTGGACGTGGACGTGGACGTGGACGTGGACGTGGACATGGACGTGGACGTGGACGTGGAGGACGTGGACGTGGACGTGGACGTGGACGTGGACGTGGAGGACGTGGACGTGGACGTGGAGGACGTGGACGTGGACATGGACGTGGACGTGGACGTGGACGTGGACGTGGACGTGGACATGGACGTGGACGTGGACGTGGACGTGGACGTGGACGTGGACGTGGACGTGGACGTGGACGTGGACGTGGACTGGACGTGGACGTGGACGTGGACGTGGACGTGGACATGGACGTGGACGTGGACGTGGATAGGACGTGGACATGGACGTGGACGTGGACGTGGACGTGGACGTGGACATGGACGTGGACGTGGACGTGGACATGGACGTGGACGTGGACGTGGACGTGGACATGGACGTGGACGTGGACGTGGACGTGGACATGGACGTGGACGTGGACGTGGACATGGACGTGGACGTGGACGTGGACGTGACGTGGACGTGGACATGGACGTGGACGTGGACGTGGACGTGGACATGGACGTGGACGTGGACATGGACGTGGACGTGGACGTGGACATGGACGTGGACGTGGACGTGGACGTGGACATGGACGTGGACGTGGACGTGGACATGGACGTGGACGTGGACGTGGACGTGGACATGGACGTGGACATGGACGTGGACGTGGACGTGGACATGGACGTGGACGTGGACGTGGACATGGACGTGGACATGGACGTGGACGTGGACGTGGACATGGACGTGGACGTGGACGTGGACGTGGACGTGGACGTGGACATGGACGTGGACGTGGACGTGGACATGGACGTGGACGTGGACGTGGACATGGACGTGGACGTGGACATGGACGTGGACATGGACGTGGACGTGGACGTGGACGTGGACGTGGACGTGGACGTGGACGTGGACGTGGACGTGGACATGGACGTGGACGTGGACGTGGACGTGGACGTGGACGTGGACGTGGACATGGACGTGGACGTGGACGTGGACGTGGACGTGGACGTGGACGTGGACATGGACGTGGACGTGGACGTGGACGTGGACGTGGACGTGGACGTGGACGTGGACGTGGACGTGGACGTGGACGTGGACGTGGACGTGGACGTGGACGTGGACGTGGACGTGGACGTGGACGTGGACGTGACGTGGACGTGGACGTGGACGTGGACGTGGACGTGGACGTGGACGTGGACGTGGACGTGGACATGTGGACGTGGACGTGGACGTGGACGTGGACGTGGACGTGACGTGGACGTGGACGTGGACGTGGACGTGGACGTGGACGTGGACGTGGACGTGGACGTGGACGTGGACGTGGACGTGGACGTGGACGTGGACGTGGACGTGGACGTGGACGTGGACGTGGACATGGACGTGGACGTGGACGTGGACGTGGACGTGGACGTGGACGTGGACGTGGACATGGACGTGGACGTGGACGTGGACATGGACGTGGACGTGGACGTGGACATGGACGTGGACATGGACGTGGACGTGGACGTGGACATGGACGTGGACATGGACGTGGACGTGGACATGGACGTGGACGTGGACGTGGACATGGACGTGGACATGGTCGACGTGGACGTGGACGTGGACGTGGACGTGGACATGGACGTGGACGTGGACGTGGACGTGGACGTGGACGTGGACGTGGACGTGGACATGGACGTGGACGTGGACGTGGACGTGGACATGGACGTGGACGTGGACGTGGACGTGGACATGGACGTGGACATGGACGTGGACGTGGACGTGGACGTGGACATGGACGTGGACGTGGACGTGGACATGGACGTGGACGTGGACGTGGACGTGGACGTGGACGTGGACGTGGACGTGGACGTGGACGTGGACGTGGACGTGGACGTGGACGTGGACGTGGACGTGGACGTGGACGTGGACGTGGACGTGGACATGGACGTGGACATGGACGTGGACATGGACGTGGACGTGGACGTGGACGTGGACATGGACGTGGACGTGGACGTGGACGTGGACGTGGACGTGGACGTGGACGTGACGTGACGTGGACGTGGACGTGGACGTGGACGTGGACGTGGACGTGGACGTGGACGTGGACGTGGACGTGGACGTGGACGTGGACATGGACGTGGACGTGGACGTGGACATGGACGTGGACGTGGACGTGGACGTGGACGTGGACGTGGACGTGGACGTGGACGTGGACGTGGACGTGGACATGGACGTGGACGTGGACGTGGACATGGACGTGGACGTGGACGTGGACATGGACGTGGACTGGACGTGGACGTGGACGTGGACGTGGACGTGGACGTGGACGTGGACATGGACGTGGACGTGGACGTGGACGTGGACATGGACGTGGACGTGGACGTGGACGTGGACGTGGACGTGGACGTGGACGTGGATGGACGTGGACGTGGACATGGACGTGGACGTGGACGTGGAGTGGGACTGGACGTGGACGTGGACGTGGACGTGGACATGGACGTGGACGTGGACGTGGACGTGGACATGGACGTGGACGTGGACGTGGACATGGACGTGGACGTGGACGTGGACGTGGACGTGGACGTGGACGTGGACGTGGACGTGGACGTGGACGTGGACGTGGACGTGGACGTGGACGTGGACGTGGACGTGGACGTGGACATGGACGTGGACGTGGACGTGGACGTGGACATGGACGTGGACGTGGACGTGGACGTGGACATGGACGTGGAGATGGACGTGGACATGGACGTGGACGTGGACATGGACGTGGACGTGGACGTGGACGTGGACGTGGACGTGGAGATGGACGTGGACGTGGACGTGGACGTGGACGTGGACGTGGACGTGGACGTGGACATGGACGTGGACGTGGACGTGGAGGGACGTGGACGTGGACGTGGACGTGGACGTGGAGGACGTGGACGTGGACGTGGACGTGGACATTGGACGTGGACATGGACGTGGACGTGGACGTGGACTGGACGTGGACGTGGACATGGACGTGGACGTGGACGTGGACGTGGACGTGGACGTGGACGTGGACGTGGACGTGGACGTGGACGTGGACGTGGACGTGGACGTGGACGTGGACATGGACGTGGACGTGGACGTGGACATGGACGTGGACATGGACGTGGACGTGGACATGGACGTGGACGTGGACATGGACGTGGACGTGGACGTGGACATGGACGTGGACGTGGACGTGGACGTGGACATGGACGTGGACGTGGACGTGGACGTGGACATGGACGTGGACGTGGACGTGGACATGGACGTGGACGTGGACGTGGACGTGGACGTGGACGTGGACATGGACGTGGACGTGGACGTGGACGTGGACGTGGACGTGGACGTGGACATGGACGTGGACGTGGACGTGGACGTGGACGTGGACGTGGACGTGGACGTGGACATGGACGTGGACGTGGACGTGGACATGGACGTGGACGTGGACGTGGACGTGGACATGGACGTGGACATGGACGTGGACGTGGACGTGGACATGGACGTGGACGTGGACGTGGACGTGGACGTGGACATGGACGTGGACGTGGACGTGGACATGGACGTGGACGTGGACGTGGACGTGGACGTGGACGTGGACGTGGACGTGGACGTGGACGTGGACATGGACGTGGACGTGGACGTGGACATGGACGTGGACGTGGACGTGGACGTGGACATGGACGTGGACGTGGACGTGGACATGGACGTGGACGTGGACGTGGACGTGGACGTGGACGTGGACGTGGACGTGACATGGACGTGGACGTGGACGTGGACGTGGACGTGGACGTGGACGTGGACATGGACGTGGACATGGACGTGGACGTGGACATGGACGTGGACGTGGACGTGGACGTGGACGTGGACGTGGACGTGGACGTGGACGTGGACGTGGACGTGGACGTGGACGTGGACATGGACGTGACATGGACGTGGACGTGGACGTGGACATGGACGTGGACAAGGACGTGGACATGGACGTGGACGTGGACGTGGACGTGGACATGGACGTGGACGTGGACGTGGACGTGGACGTGGACGTGGACGTGGACGTGGACGTGGACGTGGACGTGGACGTGGACGTGGACGTGGACGTGGACGTGGACGTGGACGTGGACGTGGACGTGGACATGGACGTGGACGTGGACGTGGACATGGACGTGGACGTGGACGTGGACGTGGACGTGGACGTGGACGTGGACGTGGACGTGGACGTGGACATGGACGTGGACGTGGACGTGGACGTGGACATGGACGTGGACGTGGACGTGGACGTGGACGTGGACGTGGACGTGGACGTGGACGTGGACATGGACGTGGACGTGGACGTGGACTGGACGTGGACGTGGACGTGGACGTGGACGTGGACGTGGACGTGGACGTGGACGTGGACGTGGACGTGGACGTGGACGTGGACGTGGACGTGGACATGGACGTGGACGTGGACGTGGACGTGGACGTGGACATGGACGTGGACGTGGACGTGGACGTGGACGTGGACGTGGACGTGGACGTGGACGTGGACGTGGACGTGGACATGGACGTGGACGTGGACATGGACGTGGACGTGGACGTGGACGTGGACGTGGACGTGGACATGGACGTGGACGTGGACGTGGACGTGGACGTGGACGGACGTGGACGTGGACATGGACGTGGACGTGGACGTGGACGTGGACGTGGACGTGGACATGGACGTGGACATGGACGTGGACATGGACATGGACGTGGACGTGGACGTGGACATGGACGTGGACGTGGACGTGGACGTGGACGTGGACGTGACGTGGACGTGGACGTGGACGTGGACGTGGACGTGGACGTGGACGTGGACGTGGACGTGGACGTGGACGTGGACGTGGACGTGGACGTGGACGTGGACGTGGACATGGACGTGGACGTGGACGTGGACATGGACGTGGACGTGGACATGGACGTGGACGTGGACGTGGACATGGACGTGGACGTGGACGTGGACGTGGACATGGACGTGGACTTGGACGTGGACATTGACGTGGACGTGGAGGTGGACATGGACGTGGACATGGACGTGGACGTGGACATGGACGTGGACAAGGACGTGGATGGACGTGGACGTGGACGTGGACGTGGACATGGACGTGGACATGGACGTGGACGTGGATGTGGACGTGGACGTGGACGTGGACATGGACGTGGACGTGGAGTGGACATGGACGTGGACGTGGACGTGGACGTGGACATGGACGTGGACAAGACGTGGACATGGACGTGGACGTGGACGTGGACGTGGACGTGGACATGGACGTGGACGTGGACGTGGACGTGGACGTGGACGTGGACATGGACGTGGACGTGGACATGGACGTGGACGTGGACGTGGACATGGACGTGGACGTGGACGTGGACGTGACGTGGACATGGACGTGGACTTGGACGTGGACATGGACGTGGACGTGGACGTGGAGGTGGACATGGACGTGGACATGGACGTGGACGTGGACGTGGACATGGACGTGGACAAGGACGTGGACATGACATGGACGTGGACGTGGACATGGACGTGGACATGGTCGACACGTGGACGTGGACGTGGACGTGGACGTGGACATGGACGTGGACGTGGAGGTGGACGTGGACGTGGACGTGGACGTGGACGTGGACATGGACGTGGACGTGGACATGGACGTGGACGTGGACGTGGACGTGGACATGGACGTGGACGTGGACGTGGACGTGGACGTGGACGTGGACGTGGACGTGGACGTGGACGTGGACGTGGACGTGGACATGGACGTGGACGTGGACGTGGACATGGACGTGGACGTGGACGTGGACGTGGACATGGAGTGGACGTGGAGGTGGACATGGACGTGGACGTGGACGTGGACGTGGACATGGACGTGATGTGGACATGGACGTGGACGTGGACGTGGACGTGGACGTGGACGTGGACATGGACGTGGACGTGGACGTGGACGTACGTGGACGTGGACGTGGACATGGACGTGGACGTGGACGTGGACATGGACGTGGACATGGACGTGGACGTGGACGTGGACGTGGACGTGGACATGGACGTGGACGTGGACGTGGACGTGGACGTGGACATGGACATGGACGTGGACGTGGAAGTGGACGAGGTCATGGACGTGGACGTGGACGTGGACGTGGTCATGGACATGGACGTGGACGTGGACGTGGACATGGACATGGACGTGGACGTGGACGTGGACGTGGACATGGACGTGGACGTGGACGTGGACGTGGACGTGGACATGGACGTGGACATGGACGTGGACGTGGACGTGGACGTGGACGTGGACGTGGACATGGACGTGGACGTGGACGTGGACATGGACGTGGACTTGGACGTGGCAATGGACGTGGACGTGACGTGGAGGTGGACATGGACGTGGACATGGACGTGGACATGGACATGGACGTGGACGTGGACGTGGACGTGGACGTGGACGTGGACGTGGACGTGGACGTGGACGGAACGTGGACGTGGACATGGACGTGGACATGGACGTGGACGTGGACGTGGACGTGGACGTGGTCATGGACGTGGACGTGGACGTGGACGTGGACGTGGACATGGACATGGACGTGGACGTGGACGTGGACGTGGACATGGACGTGGACGTGGACGTGGACGTGGACATGGACGTGGACGTGGACGTGGACGTGGACATGGACGTGGACGTGGATGTGGACGTGGACATGGACGTGGACGTGGACGTGGACGTGGACGTGGACGTGGACATGGACGTGGACATGGACGTGGACGTGGACGTGGACGTGGACGTGGACGTGGACATGGACGTGGACGTGGACGTGGACATGGACGTGGACGTGGACATGGACATGGACGTGGACGTGGACGTGGACGTGGACATGGACGTGGACATGGACGTGGACGTGGACGTGGACATGGACGTGGACAAGGACGTGGACATGGACGTGGACGTGGACGTGGACGTGGACATGGACGTGAACATGGACGTGGACGTGGACGTGGACGTGGACGTGGACATGGACGTGGACGTGGAGGTGGACATGGACGTGGACATGGACGTGGACGTGGACATGGACGTGGACGTGGACGTGGACGTGGACATGGACGTGGACGTGGACGTGGACATGGACGTGGACGTGGACGTGGACGTGGACGTGGACGTGGACATGGACGTGGACGTGGACGTGGACGTGGACGTGGACGTGGACGTGGACGTGGACTTGGACGTGGACGTGGACGTGGACGTGGACATGGACGTGGACGTGGACATGGACATGGACGTGGACGTGGACGTGGACATGGACGTGGACGTGGACGTGGACGTGGACATGGACGTGGACTTGGACGTGGACATGGACGTGGACGTGGACGTGGACGGTGGACGTGGACGTGGACATGGACGTGGACGTGGACGTGGACATGGACGTGGAACGTGGACGTGGACATGGACATGGACGTGGACGTGGACGTGGACATGGACGTGGACGTGGACGTGGACGTGACGTGGACGTGGACGTGGACGTGGACGTGGACGTGGACGTGGACGTGGACGTGGACGTGGACGTGGACCTGGACGTGGACGTGGACGTGGACCTGGACGTGGACGTGGACGTGGACGTGGACGTGGACATGGACGTGGACGTGGACATGGACATGGACGTGGACATGGACGTGGACGTGGACATGGACGTGGACATGGACATGGACGTGGACCAGATGGACGTGGACATGGACGTGGACGTGGACGTGGACGTGGACATGGACGTGGACGTGGACGTGGACGTGGACATGGACGTGGACGTGGACGTGGACATGGACGTGGACGTGGACGTGGACGTGGACGTGGACGTGGACATGGTCGTGGACGTGGACGTGGACGTGGACATGGACGTGACGTGGACATGGACGTGGACGTGGACGTGGACATGGACGTGGACGTGGACGTGGACGTGGACATGGACGTGGACTTGGACGTGGACATGGACGTGGACGTGGACGTGGAGTGGACGTGGACGTGGACATGGACGTGGACGTGGACGTGGACATGGACGTGGACGTGGACATGGACATGGACATGGACGTGGACGTGGACGTGGACATGGACGTGGACATGGACGTGGACGTGGACGTGGACGTGGACGTGGACATGGACGTGGACGTGGACGTGGACGTGGACGTGGACGTGGACGTGGACGTGGACATGGACGTGGACGTGGACATGGACATGGACATGGACGTGGACGTGGACGTGGACATGGACGTGGACGTGGACGTGGACGTGGACGTGGACGTGGACGTGGACGTGGACGTGGACGTGGACGTGGACGTGGACGTGGACATAGACGTGGACATGGACGTGGACGTGGACATGGACGTGGACGTGGACATGGACGTGGACGTGGACGTGGACATGGACGTGGACGTGGACGTGGACGTGGACATGGACGTGGACTTGGACGTGGACGTGGATGGACATGGACGTGGACGTGGACGTGGACATGGACGTGGACATGGACGTGGACGTGGACGTGGACATGGACATGGACGTGGACAGGACGTGGACGTGGACATGGACGTGGACGTGGACGTGGACATGGACGTGGACGTGGACATGGACGTGGACGTGGACGTGGACGTGGACATGGACGTGGACGTGGACGTGGACGTGGACATGGACGTGGACGTGGACGTGGACGTGGACATGGACGTGGACGTGGACGTGGACGTGGACGTGGACGTGGACATGGACGTGGACGTGGACGTGGACGTGGACATGGACGTGGACTTGGACATGGACATTGACGTGGACGTGGAGTGGACATGGACGTGGACATGGACGTGGACGTGGACGTGGACATGGACAGTTGACAAGGACGTGGCATGGACATGGACGTGGACGTGGACGTGGACATGGACGTGGACATGGACTGGTCGTGGACGTGGACGTGGACGTGGACGTGGACATGGACGTGGACGTGGACGTGGACATGGACGTGGACGTGGACGTGGACGTGGACATGGACGTGGACGTGGACATGGACATGGACATGGACGTGGACGTGGACGTGGACATGGACGTGGACGTGGACATGGACGTGGGCATGGACGTGGACGTGGACGTGGACATGGTCGTGGACGTGGACGTGGACGTGGACATGGACGTGGACGTGGACGTGGACATGGACGTGGACGTGGACGTGGACGTGGACGTGGACGTGGACGTGGACATGGTGTGGACGTGGACGTGGACGTGGACATGGACGTGGACGTGGACATGGACGTGGACGTGGACGTGGACATGGACGTGGACGTGGACGTGGACGTGGACATGGACGTGGACTTGGACGTGGACGTGGACATGGACGTGGACGTGGAGGTGGACATGGACGTGGACGTGGACGTGGACGTGGACGTGGACATGGACGTGGACAGGACGTGGACATGGACATGGACGTGGACGTGGACATGGACGTGGACATGGTCGTAAACGTGGACGTGGACGTGGACGTGGACATGGACGTGGACGTGGAGGTGGACATGGACGTGGACGTGGACGTGGACGTAGACATGAACGTGGACGTGGACTGGACATGGACGTGGACGTGGACGTGGACATGGACGTGGACGTGGACGTGGACGTAGACGTGACGTGGACGTGGACGTGGACGTGGACGTGGACGTGGACGTGGACGTGGACGTGGACGTGGACGTGGACATTGACGTGGACTTGGACGTGGACATTGACGTGGACGTGGAGGTGGACATGGACGTGGACATGGACGTGGACGTGGACGTGGACATGGACATGGATGGTGACATGGACGTGGACATGGACATGGACGTGGACGTGGACGTGGACATGGTCGTAAACGTGGACGTGGACGTGGGGACGTGGACATGGACGTGGACGTGGAGGTGGACATGGACGTGGACGTGGACGTGGACATGGACATGGACGTGGACGTGGACATGGACATGGACGTGGACGTGGACGTGGACATGGACGTGGACGTGGACATGGACATGGCATGGACGTGGACGTGGACGTGGACATGGTCGTGGACGTGGACGTGGACGTCGACATGGACGTGGACGTGACGTGGACATGGACGTGGACGTGGACGTGGACGTCGACGTGGACGTGGACATGGACATGGTCGTGGACGTGGACGTGGACGTGGACATGGACGTGGACGTGGACATGGACGTGGACGTGGACGTGGACATGGACGTGGACGTGGACGTGGACATGACGTGGACTTGGACGTGGACATGGACGTGGACGTGGACGTGAGGTGGACATGGACGTGGACATGGACGTGGACGTGGACGTGGACATGGACGTGGACAAGGACGTGGACATGGACATGGACGTGGACGTGGACGTGGACATGGACGTGGACATGGTCGTAAACGTGGACGTGGACGTGGACATGGACGTGGACGTGGAGGTGGACATGGACGTGGACGTGGACGTGGACGTGGACGTGGACGTGGACGTGGACGTGGACGTGGACATGGACGTGGACTTGGACGTGGACATGGACGTGGACGTGGACGTGGACGTGGACGTGGACATGGACGTGGACATGGATGTGGACGTGGACGTGGACATGGACGTGGACGTGGAGGTGGACGTGGACGTGGAGGTGGACATGGACGTGGACGTGGACGTGACGTGGACGTAGACGTGGACGTGGACGTGCACGTGGACGTGGACGTGCACGTGGACGTGGACGTGGACTGTGTGTGAAATAAGCGAACAGGAATGAATGAACTAGAAGTGAAATGAGTACAAGTAGTAAAACCCTAGAATTGTGTACCCCCTATAGCTAACCCACTGTAGCCTACACAAGCATAACATATATAATGTTCTGACACACCCCCATAGGCAAAGTGGGGGAGACAAGGGGTCACAAGACCAGTCAAGCAAAGCAAAGCAAGCTCAGGGTGGATCACAAAGTCACCACACAGTCCGAGCACAAGAGCAGGGCAGAGGCCAGTTCACATGCAGGAGTACAGACATATATATAAAACTAGACAAGCAAGAGCAGGTATATATATGTCACAGTACAAGTAAAGTCAAGAGGAGAGCAAGTGAGGCAAGACAGGCACAAGACCCAGCTGGGTGCAAAAGCGCTGATGATCACAAGGCGCGAGTGCCTTGGTGAACACATCAGCAGTGTTGGCCTCAGAGGCCACGTACGCAAGTCGCAACTGACCACGCTGCTGCAGCTCACGAGCAAGGAAGTAGCGGAGAGCAATGTGCTTCGTTCTGTGCTCCAAGCGCTGCTCTCGACACAAGGCCAGCATGGCCTTGTTGTCTACGTACAGCACTGGAGGAGAACGAGGCGGCTCTCCAAGGTCAGTCAGCAGGTAGGTGAGCCAGCGAAGCTCCTGTGCAGCCATGGCCCCGGCGTAGATCTCAGCCTCACAACTGGAGCCGAGAACCGAAGACGAGCGAGTAGACCGCCACGAGACAGAGCCGGAACCAAGGCTGAAGGTGTAACCCTGTGACGACCGCTGCGTAGCCTGGTCGTCAGCCCAAGAAGCGTCCGCGTGGCCGTAAGGACCACTGGACTCCGCCCTCCAAGCACAAGCCCCATGCCCGACGTACTGCACAGGTAGCGCAATACCCTCTTCGCTGCAGCCATGTGCTCTGGTCTGTGTCTCCCAGGAGCAACATAGCGTGCAAGAATGCTCAGAGGGTATGCAAGGTCAGGTCGTGTGCAGGTCATCAGGTACATGAGGCAGCCAACAAGCTCTGCATACGGACCACTCGACTCTACGGACTCATCCGAAGGCAGAGCTGAGAGTGAGTGGCGAGTAGGCAGAGGAGTGGCCTGAGGCGAGGAGTACGTGAAGCCGAAGCGCTGAAGGACCTGCTGCACCATGTGTGACTGAGTCAAGGTAATGGTGCGGCGTGCTCTGTCCCGAGTGATCTGCAAGCCAAGGTAGCTGCGCAGTTCACCCAGGTCTGTGCACGTGTGTCTCTTCAGCAGTTCGGACTTCACGTAGGCGAGTCCAGCAGTGTCCGCTGTGGCAAAGACCAAGTCGTCGACGTACACGAGGATGTAGAACGGCGGCAGTGAAGTGTCGGTGCGCAGAAACAGCGACGGGTCAGCAGTAGAAGGAGCAAACCCAAGAGCCGCAAGCGTAGTCCTCAGTGTGTCGTGCCACTCACGCGGTGCCTGGCGGAGACCGTAGACTGGCCGTCGGAGGCTCCACTGGGTGCCTGGAGGGAAAGTCCCAGTGAAGCCAGGTGGACGGCGCAGCCAGATCTCCTCGTGCAGGCTACCCTGCAGGAACGCAGTGCTAAAGTCGAGAGAGTGAAGCTCGTAGTCGCGCTGAGCGGCTATGTGCAGCAGCACCCGAAGAGTGGTCATCTTCGGGGTGGGAGAGAAGGTCTGAAAGTAGTCAACTCCCTGCCGCTGACTGAAGCCACGAGCAACGTACCGCGCCTTGAAGACAGGTGGAGAGCCCGGCGGCCGCTTCACCCTGAAGATCCACATGCCACTGACGATGTTCGCCCCAGGAGGGGGAACCGCGTCAACGTAGGTGCCTGTGGACTTCCAGGAAGCCATCTCTGCATCCATAGCTGCCTGCCACTGAGAGGAGTAGGGACCCTCTACGGCCTCCGCGTAAGAACGCGGAGTCGGGATGTCTAGTGCATCCGGGTCTCCCTCAGGGGCAAGCAGTACAGACGCGAGATGAGGTGAAGCAGCCGCTAGACACTGTAACTCCTCCTGTCTGTCCTCTAGGACGTCCGTGCCAAGAGCACACTCACCCCCGACGGACGGAGGACAGACAGACGCAGACTCAGCAACAAGACCAGCAGCGTAGTCGAGACGACAGCGAGCAGCAAAGTCAACGAGCTCAGCGACTAGAGCAGACGCAGCAGTGGACTCAAAAGAGGGGTCAGTGACGACAGTAGCAAGCAGACGCGTGACAGTAGGACTGGCAGCGCGAAGAGAGTCCGACTCAGGGTCGGCAAGCGCAGGAAGAGAGGACTCAGGAGGAGAAGGCAAAGGGGCACGCAGAGGAGCAGTGGACGGACGCAGAGACATCCGGTGCGTGCCAGGGACAGGAGGAGGACGCTGACGCGAACCGCGACCACTAGCGCAAGCAGCACGAACAGGCGACGCGGGACGAGACGCAGGCTCACGACGCTCAGCAAGACCTCCAGTAGGACCAGTGTAAGGAGAGGGAGCAGGCAGAGGAGAGGAAGGCTCCAACAGTGACTGCGACTGGACAGGCTGTGGACACTCGACCGAAGGAGAAAGACCAAGAACCTGCTGTAGGAGCGGAACGAAGTACGGCCGAGGCCCGCGGCAGCTCCAGACTCAGCAGGGACAGCACCAGCACCCTCAGCGACAGCACCAGCGCCACCAACACCTCCAGCGGCAGGACCTCCAGCAGCACCAGCAGCAGAACCACCGCCAGGACAGACAGCAGTAGTCTCAGCACCAACACCCTCAGCAGCTCCAGCTCCAGTAGGACCCGCAGGCCCAGCAGCTCCGGGACCGGCAGCACCAGCACCCTCGACGGTCGACGAAGCTCCAGCTCCAGCAGCACTCCTCCAGCGGCGAGCAAACCACTCACTCGCAGCTCCTGTGGAGAGAGGGGCTCCCGGCGAGACGCAGCAGCAGGAGAAACCCCAGGCTCAGCAGCTCCAGACTCAGCACCCCCAGGCACAGCCGCTCCAGACTCAGCACCTCCAGGCTCAGCAGCTCCAGACTCAGCCCCCCAGACTCAGTAGCTCCAGCTCCAGTAGGACCCGCAGGCCCCAGCAGCTCCCAGCAGCCGGGACGCACACCCTCAGCAGGCGAAGAAGCTCCAGCTCCAGCAGCACGCCTCCAGCGGCGAGCAAACCACTCGCGCAGCTCCTGTGGAGAGAGCGGCTCCCGCCGAGACGGAAGAACCGGAGAGCCCCCGGTCCAGCAGGCGCAGGCTCCGCACCTCCAGGCCCAGCACCCCCAGGCTCAGCAGCTCCTGACGTAGCACCCTCCGGCTCAGCACCCCCCGGCTCAGCACCCCCAGACTCAGCACCCCCCGGCCTCGCACCCCCAGGCTCAGCACCCCCATCTCAGCACCCAGCAGCAGCACCCCAGGCTCAGCACCCGCAGCAGGACCAGACTCAGCAGCAACCTCGACTGGCTCGACCGTGTCTACCTGGGACACACCTGAAGGGGCAGGAACCTGAGGGGGAGGGGTCTACCGGGGGGGGAACTGGTACCAGGAAGTCCGGTGGGGGGGGAAGGGAAGGAGTACGGTAGGGGAAGAGGCGGTAGAAGGGGACTGACTCGTCGAACGTGACGTCCTGGGAGGACAGAACACGACGAGAGGAGGGGTGGTAGAACTGCCACCCTGGAGCGTCAGGGGGAAGCCAAGGAAGACACAGGGAGCAGCACGGGGGGACAGCTTGTCCGCAGACAAGTCGCGGACAAACGCCCGAGATCCCCAGACACGGAACGCAGACGCATCGCCGACCTTCCCCGTCCACAGTAACACTGGGGACATCGCGGGCCGAGAGACCCTGGGGTGAAGGTTGAGCTGATGCGCCGCGTACCGAACCGCAAACGGCCACAGAAAATGGGGGGCAGCCGCATGCATCATGGACGTACGAGCGACATCCATGACCATGCCAATGCGGCGCTCAGCAATCCCATTTTGCTGTGGAGAGTCCGGAAGCGTAAAGGTCTGGCGGATCCCCTGTGCACGACAGTAGTCTCGCAGAAGGCGAGAGGGAGAACTCCCCACCTCGGTCAGAGTGCAGACGCAGAACAGGAAAGTCCGAGCCGAAGCTCCTCCTGAGCTGGAGACGAGCCTCGGCGGATCCAGTCGATCAGCACCTCAGTGACAGCACCCCTTGCTGCGCAAGGGGAAGACTGAGGTGTAACGCGGAGTAGTCGTCAACCACCTAACAGGAAGTAGCGCTCGTGACCTCGCCCACGGACGGGGGCGCGGGCCCCTACGAACGTCCATTGTGAAGCGTCTGCAGAGGAGCCTCTGTCGGGGTGAAACTGGGAGGAGTGAGGAGCAGCCCTGAGGCGCCCTCGACACAGGGGACACAGGAAGGTCCTGGTCCCGAAGGGAAGGGGAGGGAGAGACTGGGGAAGACCAGAGACAAGGACACGGGATAGCATGCCCCGAAGACGGGCAAGGAGGGTGGCCTAGACGGTGGTGACCACAGAAGAGTCTCGTGAGACAGGAGGCGACACGAACAGGGGGCAGACTCAGGACCAGACCTGGACGCAGCAGCAAACACCTGACCCGACGCTGCTACCTGACCGGACGCGGGGACAGGAGGAGACTCAGTGGTCAGGGTGTAGAGGCTCGACCCCGGCCGACGCGAGAACGTGGCCAGGTGCCGGCCTGTGCGTGCGTCCGTGCAGTGGGTCACCCGCTGACTCGCAGGAGTGAACTGGTGAACCCCCGCATCCTGTAGGTCTGCACCACTCACCAAGTTCGTCGAGAACGAGGGGAGGTACAGGCCAGACAGGGTGCCCGAGGGGGCAGCCGGACACGGAGGACAGTGGAGAAGTGAGCGAGGACAGGACCCCCAGAGGGGTCAGCCAGGGAGACAGCAACCGGCCGACCAAGCGGCGTGAGTGTGGTGCGGTCCCGAAAGAAGGAGCGAGAAGCCCCAGAGTCAAGTGTAAAGGTGAGGGAGGCCGAAGCCAACGCG